TGACTGGTTGCAGGAATGCTCAATACTTGATTCAATTCTTCAATGTCCAGTTTATGAAATACAGGCAGCTGAAAACACGTGATGGCACCGAGTTTATCCAATAAGCCTTATAAATAGCTTATCGAAGGTTCATTTTGTACACTGCTATCATTCTACATATACTTTAACTTTACACAATTTCTTAAATAACTAATACTTTAAAAATAATTTTTATTATACAGCAATTTAAATAATACGAAATGCATCAAGAAAAGAAAATTTAAATTTTAATATCGAATTTAATTATTTATATAAGAATTTATTTATTAATTTTATTTAAGAATCTGGTATAAAGCTCTCGATTGGTAAGTAAAGTTAAAATTATTTTTTTAATGTATGATAATTATTGATCACAACCTTCAACTTAAAAATTTCATAAAAAAAAAACTGCTAATATAACATATAATATATGAGTGACGAAAGGAAAAACCTGTAAATCATTTCACTCATTGAGTGCGATGATTTACAGGTTTTTCTTTTCATCACTCATATTTGTTATTTATAGAGACCCTGGTTATAGAAAATGTTCATATTGTAATAAGGATAGCAGCATAATGATTCCAATACAGATAAATGAAAATAATGATAGTAATGACTGCACGAAGAGGTTCCAACTTAGAATTAGTGCACAATTGGATAGATTCTATTTGACTAAGTGACATTGAAAAATTGAAGTAGTTTGTTTTGTATTTTCTGTAAACTGGTTGATAATATGTGAAAACTTGAAATAATTAAGACGATAGTAACATTTAAGAATTTGTGGACCTTCTAGCACCATTATGCTCAAGGCCTTGTCAGTTCAATAAAAAGCCTAAAGAGTTTTGGAAATAAGTAAGTCAAATCATTATTTATCATACAGATTATTAAATAAAGTATTTTTTCTTTGAAACCAGGAGCATGCTTAGATCATTTGACTAAAGTAACATTACACAATCCTCATATTTAATCACTAGTTATGTTACATGAGTTATTTGTTTATAAATATTAAAAAAAAGTATTAATTCTTATTTTAACAAAAGATTATCATTAATGACACAGATGAAAATATGAAAGTAAGGCATATGAAAGTAAAGCACTGTTTATTATCAAATGTTACTGATGTAAATAATTTCAATGAAATGTATCAAGTTGGCCATTGTTATTGTTTAAGAATTGAGAAGTTAAATATAGAAGTAGCAGCAATAAGGTACTTGTTTATTGTTATTATTAAGTGTTATTTATATAAATAATTTAATGAATATATCAAGTTGTTTTATTGTTATTATTTGAATTAAACAAATGTAGGCAAGTAAAAGACTTGTTTATTATCAAATTTGCTGATGCAAACAATTCTAATAAAATGTATTAATTAAGTTATTGCTATTGTTTAAGAATTGGCTATAAGTATAAATTATTTAATGAGATTAAATTTAATAAGTCATTTGTTAATTGGTTATATTATAATTAAATTTGATTTTTTATTTATTAAAAACTTCAATAATTTAATCTTTTATGCTGTAAGTATAATCAACATACTTCCACTAATCTATGTACTATCAAGATCATCTATGTATTTTATATAGTGAAGCACTATAAACAATATGTAACATCAAATAAGCATCTATTCTAATTATAGTCACAGGTGTTTATTCATAATAGGATCACCCAACAGTATTTAAAATACCAATCTAAAAAATTTTGCTAGCCAATCAGATTTCTAGATCAGGTCTAATTTAAAAGAAGTACAAAGAAATCAAACCAACAAAAAAATGCTTATAGCTTAAAATTTTTCTAATGAAAGTGCTTTCTGCACACTAACAAAAAATTTTCCTCTAGAAATTTTACTATAACTATAACACTTTAAGCCAAATAGTAACTTACTGGTGGAACCCTAACCCTAACTAATTCGAAATGTTTTTCTTTATAGTGAAATTTTTTTTAATGAGATCATATAATGAGCAAAATTTTTTAAACTGGCATTGTTAGTTCCATAGAAACACCCTATCTAAAATTTTACTTTATTTGGAGATTTACTGATCAACTATAGTAACAAATCTACATCTAAGATTATAACATCTGCCAAAATTTTTTAAAAAATGATCAGGCCACAGGTTGCTTATTCAGGATCAACAATTTTATTTATAGAGGGCACTTATTCATTATAGGGGCTTATTATAATAGAACACAATATCATAGGCCACTGCTTACAGTACCTAGGATCTTATTCAAGAAATTATAATTGCAAATTACTTGATATTAATCAAATCAGAGTAGTAATAACTTTATCAATGTCAAGGTATGAAAATAATTTATATGTTTATTATTTATTAAACCTGTATTGGTTTTTAAAATTTTGTTCATTAATAGTGATCTGACTGCAAATACTCCTTGGTGAATGTAAAGTTACTAAAAGTACAAAGTTGGCGATTGTTCGAGTTTAGATTTCCTAGTGTGATCACTTTTAGATGCAGGTGATCTATAATTATTTGAAATCTTGTAAGTAGTTTAAGAATATTAATAGTGTGTTGGAGAAAAATTAAAACTATGTTAGCATTTTTTTATTATGTTAAAATTGAATAGTGCCGGGCAAAACATTGTTATTGACCTATTTCTATCATCATTATAGACCTCTAAGAAAAAAAAACCTTTGGTACATCATTATTGATCTATTAAAAAAAAAAAAAAGAATACATCATTATTTTATAGTTACCTAATGTTGCTGCATGAGCTTTTCGATTGATATCTTAAGTAAAAATTAAACCTATTTAAAAACTGACTATTTGTTTGATCTTATTCTTTTTCTATCAAAGTATTAACCAACTTTGTGTATTTAATTTGATATTATCATATAATGATGTACTAATTTTTTTGTTCTTAGTAAGCCAATAATGATGGTCTAGGCATAATTTATGAATCCAGAAATCTCATTTGCAGTGAGAAGTTACTCTATATGGTAAGACACCATTTTTAAGAGATACTACAAGCAATAGTCTACAGTAGTTATTTATTTTCTTGTTTTTGATATTAGGATAACTTTTGATTAATATTTACTTACTTTCCACCTTAAAACATAGCTACACTTTTATCATCGTTAATATTGTCGACTTCATATTGGTATTTTTGTTTGAATTATTTACATTGATATGTTCTGCTTTTACTTTAATTGATGCTTCCATTAGTGCTTCTATTGGTGCTTTCATTGGTGCTTTCATTGGTGCTTCTATTGGTGCCTCTATTGGTGCCTTCGTCAATATTTTATTATCTTTTTGTTACAATATTTTCTGCCATCTTCATTGCCAGTTTTGTTTTTATCTTGTCATTATATTCATCTTTGTCACCATATTTGTCTTCATTGTTATATCCATCTTCTTCTTCATTACCATATCTGTCTTCATCTTCATCGCTATATCTGTCTCCATCTTCGTCACCATATCTGTTTCCACTCTAATTACTATATTTGTCTCTATCTTTATTACCATATCTGTCTCCATCTTCATTACCATATCCATCTTCATCCTAATTACTTTATCTGTCTCTGTCTTTGTTACTATATTCATCTTTAACTTTGTTATATTTGTCTTTATTGTCATATTTATCATGATTTTTATTATTTATATTTT